TATATAGGGTTAAAAACAAAAAAAAAAATCCCTTGTGGTATAGCTATCATACAAAAAAGCCCATGTGGTTTCATATCATACGCATCGATACCCAATGGTTTGACGTAAGGTAAATTGTCGACGAAAATCATTAAAGCAGATGGAGCTGAGTGAAAATGCCTACAAGTTCTCTCCTGAGTGGGAGTCAAATTTTTCTCTCTCTTGGGAACTGTGCCAATCTTCCTCCTTGGAAGGGTACTGAAGCGTTTTATGTATGCAAACAGAGGAACAATCTCAGCACTAAATACAAACACCCAATTTAGCATTAAAAGGCATTTTGACATTCTTAGGTCTACCATTACTCCACTATCGACAAGATCTCAGCTTTAGTTCTGATTGGTGGACAAACGGAAGTAGCAAAGTGCAGGCATTACACTACCTTCCCTGTAGGAACTTTACTCCAAGCTACGACAGGTATCTTTAAGGCTGTTTTCCAAGGTTTTTTCAAGGCTCTGCATGTACTCTTGAGCTGCAAGTTTTTTCTGCCTGTTAGTTTTCTCTGTTTTTTTACTGAGCTTTTAAATTTAAAAAAAAATGGGGCTAAAAATAGGAAATGTTATTAAAAACAGCTTTCTTTTTCCAAACATTCTAGTCCTGTTGCTTCATCATAGCAAACATGTGGTGCTTGGTTCTTTTCATGGTTTTTTGATACAAAGGGAGTAAGTTTGGCGTTTAGGGAGGGATTCCGGTCTTGTATACCTGAACTGCTTACCCTCAGTGAAGCACACATTTGGTACATTTGTTGATAGGAGTCCCTCTGGGGTCAGCCATCCCCCACTTCTAGTTTCTTCGATCTGGACTGGTGTTGAACTGTGATATTCCCTCTTAGAACATCAGTAGGAGTCATGGCGGAGGAATTAGCTGAGATACTGGAAATATTTGAACTTTCCAACAAAGAAAGGGGAGAAACAAAGCTGGACTTGGGAGATGTGGGAACAAGTGTGAAGGAGTGCAAGGAAAGTTTGGTTGGGGAGGTAATGGGTGAGAAAATCATAAATTTCATGGGAGTGAAAAATTTTGTTACACTAGCTTGGGGCTACCCTAAAGGTCTCTAGGTGGTGGAGGTAGGTGTAAACACTTTCTAGTTCTTTATACCAAGTGAGAAGGATAGAGAAAGAATTTATAAGGGAGGTCCATGGATTATTGACAGCCAGATCTTAGTTATTAGACCTTGGTTTGAAGGATTTGAAGAGGAAGGTGCTGATTTTAACCTCGCTCCATTATGGATACAAGTGTGGAATCTCCCAGTGCACTGGATTTCTAAGGAGGTGGGAAAAAAGATAGCATTAGTTTTTCATGAAACTAAGGAAGTGATTATCCCTCAAGGAGGAGAAAAAGAAGGGAGGCACATCAAATTACTTGTGCTGGCTGACATCTCCCAACCTCTTATAAGAGGTACCAAGGTAAAGATGGAAGGAAAAGTGAAGTGGTTAAGTTTCAAATAGGAGAAGGGACCTGATTTCTGTTATACATGTGGCAAAATAGGACATAGCAAAAGGAACTGCTCCGATAGCAGTTTAGGTGGAAGAGGCCAGCAGAATAATCAATTTGGGCCATGGTTGAGAGCAGGAGGAGGGAAGTTGTCGCCTCAAATGGAAAGGAGAGGGAGGCAGTCTACTAACATTTCCCCTCACAAGCAAAGGTGGGGCTTTAAGGATGGCGAGCTGGTACCAAAAATAGGTGAAAGGGAGCTGATGGAGAGAAGTCAGGCTAGGGAGGATAAGAATGCACGTAAGGATAGTAGACCTGTTGGGGGGAATATACAAACAGATGTTGTAGTGACAATTCAGGAACCAGAAAATATGGAGGACAGGGGTGAGGAGATGGATAACAGTAAGGGAAATGATAAACAGACACAGGAGAGGCTTGAAGGGAGAATATATCGCTGTCAGTTATACATAGTCCTGGACAAGGAGGTACAGCTATCCTTTAAGGAACCTGAAGCCATGGGCATGCAAGTGGAAGATCAGACAGATGTGATGGAGACACCGAGTAACAAAGGAATGACTAGAAGAACAGGGAAACAATTAAAAGCTCCAGTGATAAAGAGGAAATCCATGCGACATGTTCAGCTTACTAGACTGAGTAAAGAGACTACGGGGAAGAGAAAATTCCACCTGACTGATGAAGATATGGTGGATGTGGAAGTCACTGAAACAGTTGGAAAAAAGTGGAAAAAGGGGGATGATCCAGATAGCTATGTAAGCCAATATGAATGGGCGGTGGCCAGCCTTACTTGGCTACCCATGAATGAATGAAAGTACTGGTGTGGAATTGCCAAGGTGTTGCAACCTCCTCTCCCCCAATGTGGTCTTCTTGTGTGAGACCAAAAACAGACAACAGTTTATGATGAAAGTGAGAAGGCAACTGAGGTTTGATGAGTGTGTAGTGGTAGAGTTTATGAATAAGTCAGGTGGTATGATAGTAATGTGGAACAATGAGGTTAAGGTTTTAGAGGTCCAAACAACAGCTTTCACTATGAAAATCCACATTATGGACACAGACAAGAATGTGGACTGGTGGCTCATTGGCATTTATGCAAGTACAGATAATCAAGTTAGAAAGAATCAGTGGCAAGTAATCCAACGAAGGAAAGTTCTATGGGGTCCTAGATGGATGATTACGGGTGATTTTAATGACATTACATCAAATGAGGAGAAATGGGATGGTAGAAAGAGAGAGAAAGGAACCTTTCAAGATTTTAGGAACTTCATTGAACAAAATGGACTAATTGATCTTGGTTTTGAAGGTAACCCCTGGACATGGAGTAACCACTAGACTCAAGATGGTGAAATCAAACAAAGGCTAGATAGAGTTTTGGGAAGTAATGTTGGAGCCAAGTGTTTGACAGAACTATAGTTAGACATATAGACAATGTTGGATTAGACCATAGTATGATGCTTATAGATTCAAACCCTCTAACTGAAAAGAGAAAGAAACGATTCATTTTTGATAAAAGTTGGCTGAAAAAGAGGGGCTGGAACAAATGATCAGTCAGGTGTGGGAGGAGGAGCAAATAGGCTCCAATATATACAAAGTGCAAAAGAAAGTAACAAACTGCAGATTGGCGCTACTGACGTGGAAAAATAACTTCCAAGGAAATGCTAGGAAGTGGATTGACAATCTAAAAAAGTTACTGGAGGAGCTCAAAGTTTGTGACTGTGATGACAAAAAGTTAAGAAACATGGATCTTAGAAGACAATTAAAGGAGGCTTACGATGAAGGGGAACTTTTCTGGAGTCAAAAATAAGAGTGCAGTGGCTTAAGGAGGGGGATAAAAATACTTATTGTTTTCACTCTAATGTCAAAGGAAGGAGACACAGAAACAAAATTCAGAGGCTACAAAGGGAGGACACCACATGGACTACATCGGAAAAGGAAATTGGAGAAAAAGTTGTGAATCAATTTAAGGAGCTATTCAGAAGTAAGGGAGTGACTCAAATTGATATGGCTTTGGAGAGAATATCACAGACAATATCAGACCACATGAATTCTGAACTAACCCAACCAATCAAGGACAAAGAAATTAAAGCTGCACTTTTCTCCATGAACCCAACAAAGCCCCTGGTCCTGATGGCATGACACCACTGTTCTTTCAGAAATTCTGGCACATTGTTAAAAATGACATCATAAAAGCCATTAAAAGCTTCTTTCATTCGAGTCATATGTTGAAAGCTATGAATCACACAAACATATCCCTTATTCCCAAGGTTGAGAACCCCACTGAGGTTAAGCAGTTCAGGCCTATAAGTTTGTGTAATGTGTTGTATAAAATCATTTAAAAAATTTTAGCAAATAGATTGAAAAAAGTTTTGGGAAAATGTATTAGCACAAATCAGGCTGCCTTTGTTCCTGGAAGGCAGATTCTGGATAACGTGATCATATCTCATGAGCACTTGCATTACCTCAAAAACAAAAGAGAAGGATCTCATGATTTTATGGTCTTAAAACTAGATATGTCGAAAGCTTACGATAGGGTCGAGTGGGGTTACCTTAAGGAAATCATGGTAACACAGGGATTTTGTGCTGGATGGATCACTTGGATTATGGAGTGCATCACAACAACTTCTTTTTCCTTCAACATAAATGGAGAGCCTAAAGGATATGTCATACCTTCAAGAGGAATTAGACAAGGCGACCCTTTGTCACCTTACCTATTTCTCTTAGTCTCACAAGGCTTTTCACACTTGCTGGGTCGAGCACAAAGGAACAAAAGGCTAACTGGGATGAGGATCAGTAGGAGTGGCCCGTCAATAACTCACCTATTCTTCGCAGATGGCTCGTTAATCTTTTGCAAAGCAGACAAGAGGCAAGCTGAAGAAGTGAGGAGAATTTTGAAGATTTATGAACATGGCTCAGGACAGATGATCAACATGGAAAAATCCTTAGTGTTCTTTAGTAGAAATGTGGAACAAAATGATTAAAGAGAAATCTGCAGCTGCTTGGAACATATAAAAGTGGTGAAGCAAGGGAAGTATTTAGGGCTGCCAATGGTCATCACTAATACCAAGGACCAAATTTTTGGGTTCATTAGAGAAAAATGCAACAAAACGATCTTCAACTGATCCAACAAACAGTTAAGTCAAGCAGGAAAAGAGGTATTGCTGAAAGCAGTAACCATGGCAATGCCAACTTACGCAATGTCATGTTTTAAGTTCCAGTAAAGTTATGCAAAGACATCAATGCCATGATGGCAAGATTCTGGTGGGGGGAGGATAATGGGAGGAGGAAAATGCATTGGTGTTCATGGGGAAAACTATCCACTACAAAGAATAATGGAGGACTAGGATTTAAAGACCTCCAAGGCTTTAATAAAGCCTTGCTAGACAAACAGATTTGGAGGATTCTCACGTGCCCCAACCTGTTGCTTAGTAAAGTGTTGAAAGCCAAGTACTACCCCCAACACATCACCACTGGTTTGTGAAGTAAAAGGAAATGCATCATGGATATGGATGAGTCTAATGGGATCAAGAGATGAGGTGCAGCGTGGAGTTAGGAAAAGAATTGGAAATGAGAAAAGCACCAACATTTGGGAAGATGCTTGGCTACTGGATGGGAAGGAAAGAAAGGTAGAAGCCCCAAAACCCTTAGGATGCAAGATCACAAAAGTTAGCGAGCTGATCTCCAACTTCAGATGGAAAGCACCACTCATCTTCCGGACCTTTAGCCCACATGAAGCTACGAATATACTCAAAACGTCTATAAGTGTGACAAGTATACCTGATTGCTACTTCTGGAGTCATAGCACAAATGAAAAATACACAATCAAATCTGCTTATGAAGCTTTTACCAAGAAGAATAGGCAGTCTAATGCAGAAGTGAGCAGATTGGGAGAAAGAAGTTGGACAAGGGGAGCAACAAAATCTGGAAACAGCTATGGAAAATACGAATAAGACACAAGTACAAGTTATTTTTATGGAAGAGTCTACATCAAGTGTTACCCGTACGAGAGGCTATATTTAGGAGAACGGGAAAGGAAGAACTAATCTATAAGCAGTGTGGAGAAACCAATGAGATAGTTGAGCACATTTTCTTCCAATGTAGCAAAGCAAAGTTGATATGGAATATGGCTCCTTTACAGTGGGATGGGCTTCATGAGTACACAAGCGATTTCAGGAAGTGGTGGAGTAGGTTAATAGAAGTAAAGGTGTGAAAGGATGGAATGCAACACATTTGTTTAACAATAGACATTCTTTGGCACATTTGAAAATCCAGGAATGAAGCAGAATTCGAAAGCAAAGATTGGCATCCAATGGAAGTTGTTCGAAATGCAGTGAACGATTGGGAGGAGTATCATCAATGCTTACAGGTAGAGCAATGTATGAGCATCTCCGAAACAGAAATAGCAAACGACCCAGGGAAACCAAACCGAAACATGCTGAGCATTCATGTAAATGTAGGGCAACACAAGGAAGGACATAATATGGGAATTGGCATCACAGCAACAAATGCAATGAACCAGATTGGTGCAGCGTGGATGCTCAGGGAAAGGAGTACTGGATCAGCTGTTTTGGACAATTTGGTGGCTATACAATTGGCACTTTGTAAGCTAAAGGAACGCGGTTGGCAACACATACAGGTTCAGACATCATGTAACCAGACTTTAAAGTTGATAAACTGTCAAGCCCCAACCAACTTCTGTATAGCAGGCCATCTTGAATGCATCAATGATCTAAGCTTAATGTTTAGGACATGCTCATTTGTTAGCCAACCTAGTAATGGTAGTACTAATACACTAAGTTATAAACTAAATAAGCAAGCAATGCACATCTATTTTGATGAGGAGTTTTTTGATCCTCAATGTCTTAGTACATTTTTGTAAAGTAAAACTTGAGCCCTTGCTCATATATTGTAAATTCTCTCTTAGTAGAAATATATTCATCTATCGTTTCTGGAAAAAAAAAGATGGAGCTGAGTGAAAAGATGAAATTACCCTAATAATATAAGTAAAAATAGCCGAAGTAATGTAGCACTTTCATTCTGTCAAAACAAACGAAGAGAGAGAGTGTGTGTGTGTGTGAGAAGATACAAACCCTAGATCAACGGAAAATACAAGTGAAAATTTGCGGCAAAAAATTGAAGAAAAATGGGTTCGTATATTATCCCTCATATATTTCATTTTGGGTTTTGGGGTATTTTTTGGAAGAGAAATTGTGATTTACCGATTTCAGATTAAATTGGAAGGCCATTATTTAACAAAGATAAGATTTTTGATGTATTTATGGATGTTGTTAGTGAAGATAAGGTTTTGATGTATGCCCTCAATTTGCTATTTTGATTAAGTACGGAAATGGAAAGCTTTAGAATCTGCTATTTGGTTGACGAATCTGAACTCAACCCCTTAAATGTTTGTGTTTAAGTAGAAGTGTTATGAAACTACTGCCTTGTTGTTCTATATGTATAATTGTCACAATAAAAAATAGATTAATGTTGGTAGATAATCTGTTGTTATCTTAATATGGGGTTCATGAAAACATGTTGTAGTCAAATATGGTCCCCAATCCCCCCTACAATAAATTGTTTGTTCTGGTTCTGTAGAGGAGAGATATGAGGACAAAGTTGACATACATATGTATTTTGGTGGGAGATTTAGAGAAAAATCAAGGCTCCATTACACAGGAACCCACATGGCCATTTTCAAAGAAAGAGTTCAAGATCAGTTCTCCATAGTAAGCCTCTGCAGAATGTTTAAAACAGTAGATGAATAAGCAACTAGAGTAACGTTTTGGTTTTGTGTCCCAAATGTTGATTTGGAAGGTGGCCTACACCCAATTAGAGACAATAATGATATTAAATTAATGAACCAAGCATATTAGAACTTGCTAAAGGAAAGGCTAATTTATACTTGTAGTGGGGATGAGCCATTTGAAAAAGAGCTTGAAGATGATAGAGTCAGTGATGAAATAAAAAAATAAAGGCCTTGATACAGGTGCATGTAAAGATGGTGGGGTCACTAACACTACGGGGACAGGTACATGTGAAGATGAGGAAGAGCCAAAATGGTTAAAAGATGGGTGGAAAACAATAGAGGATGAAGACATTTTTACACCGAAAAAAGATGCCGCAGGAGACAACAACCACAACAAAAAAATCACTGGAGACAGTAACTAAAAAGGTGATGGAGACAAGGAGAAAGGTGATGGCACCACTGCTTTCTCAAAATTGCTTGTGCACGTATTCTCATTTGTTGGAGAGATAGATGAAAAAAGTTCTGCTAAAAGTGGGGTTGCGAGGAAGAAAAGGGCTAGTGAAACCTCACAATCTAGAGGGCCTGATGTGATTTAGCAAATTCTATCACCTGTTTCATCTCAAAGGCCATCACATATTCAATCACAAGATGAAGCTGTAAGCATTAAAAAAGACACTACAATAGTTGGAGAATCAGATTTGAGGCCACAAGATGAAAGGGTAGTGAATGCTAAGGTGACTGAAGAGAATTGGCAAGAACCAGTGGTTTTGGATGAAGAATTGCTGGAGAAATTTAGATCTGGAGGTGGAGAAGAGGATAATTGTTTTGACTTTAATCCTGAAGTTGAGTTTAGGAAGCCATACTTTGAGCTAAAAGTGGGGCAGAAGTTTACTAATTTTAGAGTGTTTAGATTTATGATGCGTGAATGGCTAGTTAGAGAGGGTTATGAAGCTACTTGGGTGAAAAACTACTCCAAGAAAATTATTGCCAAATGTGCAAAAGGTTGTACTTGGAGGATTCGTGCAACACCAATTCAAGATGAATCAACTTTCCAAATAAAGTCATTGAAGGGTGAGCATGTGTGTGCTCGAGAATATAAAAACAAACATGCAACAGCCACATATCTGAGCAACAAGTATCAAGATAAGATCAGGAATAACCCAAAAGTTGATTTGATGGGATTAAAGAATGACATCATAACAGATTTAATGATCAATGTATCAATTGCTAAGGTTGGTAGAGCTAAGCGTAAGGCAAAGGATATGATGTTTGGCACGGACATGGAGCAGTATCAAAAACTCTGGAGTTATGCAGCCACCATCCGAGACACAAATGCTAGAAGTATTGTAAAAATTCAGATTGACAAACCAGCTGATGGTTCAAAAGAGACATTTGAAAAGTTATATTATTGCTTGCATGTATGCAAGCAGGGTTTCCTTGATGGTTGTAGACCAATAATTGGTCTAGATGGCTATTTTCTTAAGACAGCATTTGGTGGTCAATTATTGTCGGCACTTGGCAGAGATGGTAACGACAACATGGTGCCAATAGCAATTGCAATGGTAGAGATAGAGCGGTATGACTCCTGGAAATGGTTTTTGGAATTGCTAATGGCTGATCTAGGCATAGGAAGGGATAACATTTCTTGGACCTTTATCTCAGATAGATAGAAAGGGCTTGTGCAAGCTGTGAATCAACTATTTCTAGATATAGAACATAGATTTTGCTGTTATGGGCTGCTATAAGTGCTGGCAATGAAAGGGAGTGGAAAGTGGCAATGAATGACCTAGAAAAGGCAAACAAAGATGTTGCTGAATGGTTGAGCAGAATTCCACCAACTCTTTGGAGTAGATCACATTTTAGAGGAAGTAGTATATGTGACATTTTGGTAAACAACCTAAATGAGTCATTCAACAACTATATATTAGAAGCAAGAGAGTTACCTATCACTGGGAAGCTTGAATGGATAAGGAGGAGATTGATGCAGAGAATTCAAACAAAGAGATTTGGAATGCAAAAGTTTTAAGGAGAAATCTGTCCTAAGACAACAGAGAAGATTGACAAGAATCAAAGGTTGAGTAGGACATATGCTGCGACCTGGGACGGGGGTCACAAGTATGAGGTTGACTATGGTCCGAGAAAATATTAGTAGTATATTTGCATGAATGGACATGTACCTGTGGGTATTTTCAATTAACAAGTTATCCTTGTGCCCATGTATATGCTGCAATAGAAGTGTGTAGATTACCTATAAAAGATTATGTGCATACTTGCTACACTAGAGCAGAATATCTGAAAACATATGCACATACTATCATATCTGTTCCAAGTGATATTTACTGGATAACATGCGAAGAAAAGACCCTAAACCCCCTCCCAACGCAATTAGGAGAATGCCTGGTAGACCAAAGGAACTGCACCAAAAAGCACAAGATAAGCCTAAGAAGGGTCAAGTATCAACTAGAAAGAGTCTTGTAGTACATTGCAAGAGACGTTTTCAGCCAAATCATAACTCACGGACGTGCAAGAATCCCATTCACCCTAACTCTAAATTTTATAAGGTAATGTTTCCTTGTACACTTGAATGTCATTGTTACAGCATCTGTATCTATTAATAATGTTAAATGGCATTTGTTGCCACCTGAAGCAAGTGCAGCTGAATCCATTTAATCACAACCAATTATTGAGTCATCTACTGAGCCACAGCCAACTAGTGAAGGAGCTGCTGCTACTCGAAGTACTATAAAGACTAGCAAAATGGCTAGGAAGGTGTACACTCAACCAATAGTTGTTAGTTTGGCCAAAACTACACATAGTAAACAATCTGTATCGCAAGTATCACTTTTACATTGGATTTAATGAGTTACATAAAAACATAATTGTGTTGGTGAAGATCTAATTTTTCTTTTTATTTTAATTGCAACCTGTGGATGGTAAAATATGAATGGGGGTAACAGGGCTGATGGCACCACTATACCAGTAAAAAGAGCCAGAGCTGCAACTATTACTGATTCCTGCAGAAGTTAAGGGCAAAGAGACCAAAAGTTATCCAGGCTTAATTACCTGCCTAATATTTGCCTAGTCGTAGATCGTTTTGAAATATTACATCTAGTTGTAATAATGCCTGCAACTATCTTTACTGTAGAATGATTGATTGTCGATGGAAATATTTGTCTACTTTTCCATACTCTTGGCTTATATATT